AATTTTTGAATTTAGTTAAACATTCAAGTTTTTTAAAATCAGGTTTGTTTTTGTTAAAATTGTTTTTAACTAAAATAGTTAAATGAAATATTAAAAACAACAACAACCCAACTATGTCAGCCAGGTCAACTTAAAATATTTGCTTCTGCAGCTAACTCAGTTGTCTTCACCTTCATTTTCCTGTTTGTTCATAATCTGGAAAAGAAAAAGAAGCTTTCTTGCTTTGTCAGGTCCCAAACAGTTTCTCAATTTGGAATGAATTAGTCCAAAGGAAGAAAATGTTCTCTGTACGCTGCAGAAGAAGCTACTGCTGTTAAAAGTGAGATTATCACTTCAACAGTCTCTGAATCCAAGTGCTTAAGTGACTTCCACTAGTTCACTGTGGAAGTCTGACTTTCTTTAAAACATCATCAGCAAACATATATTTCTTGAAGGTTCACCCTTAGCTCTGAAGTTTATTATAGTTGGCATTATGGAGGGATGATTGCTGGATGTCCATGTCATAGCCAACTCCTCTTGTTCAGCAGTTAAGGTTTGACCCTGGTACCGAGTATTGAGAATATTTGCAAGAAAATGAGCTGGAGATAGTGCTTGTCCCACTCTTTTTTTAAATGCTTGTCATTTAACTCTGTCATTGCATATTTCTCTTTTTAGGATCTCACTCAGTTCCTTCCAAATTTCAACAGCATCAGCAATAAAATAGCTATTTCCCTGCATTTTGTTCAAGGCTAAGAAACAGGCTTCAGGGAACTCAGCATGTGATCAACCTTTCTCTTAAGCTCCATGTTGAGAACTTCGTCTGTGACAGTGCCATCTATTTTTTGACGATTTTGTTCACAAACTGTCATCAGATTAGGCCAGTTCTTGATCTAGTGCTCAAAACAGTCCACTACTGAGTTCCATCGCACGTCTTGTGGGAGAGTTAGCTTGGTTCCTCCCACTTTATTCAGAGCAGCTGCTGCAAAGTGGCTGTTACAGAAGTATTTTGCAATTTCAACAACATTAGCCTTTATTTCTGGAACACTGAAGTCTTTGGCTAGGAGGTGCATCAAATGAGCACTGCAACCGTATGTTATTAGCTTGGGACTCTCTTCTAAATTTCTTCTCATCTTGGATATATTTGCAGCATTGTCTGTGACCAAGCTGCGTACTAGACATTTGATTTTTTTATCAGTTTGTTATGACTTTTACTGCTACTTCTTGGAAGTATTCTGCTGTGTGTGCAATTCCCGAGGTATCAATTGTTTCTGTAAGGAAGACATTCCCTTCTTCTGTTGTCACACAAGCACATACAACAGGATCATTGTGGACGTTGCTGCACCCATCAAGCCTCAGGTTAACAATTTTACCCTCTAGACCTTTTGCACACTGCTCAATTTCTCTTTCATACACGTTATCCAGCAATTGGCCTGTGACATCTGCTCTGTTGGGTGGACTATATCCTGGTCTTAATGACTGAACCATGTTAATGAAGAGTGGGTTCTCAATCATACAGAAAGGAGAGTTTGTTGCATAAGCAAACTGGGCAATTTTTTAATCAATTACCTCTTTTTGTAAACTGCTGGTTCTTAACACAAATTTATCTATTTTTTTTTCTTTTTTGCTACAGGTGATATACCGTGGCTATGTGACATACATGATGTGACTGAAACACTATCATGGTGATCTTGAAGGTGGATAGTCTTCAGAATCCTGTATGTTGAGGATGGATTCTCCTAAACAAAATAAGTCAATGCAGTTATTTAATTATTACCATACTGTTAATTTAGTATTACTCATTGCGGTCACTGACACTCAGATCTACTTTAAAGCTGAAATTGTAAAAGGAAGATCTGCCTATTTCAGCTATTTATTTTTTATCACAACCTCATCTAAAATGATAGTACATATAATGATAGAGTAACAACTGTATTTTTTTGCTCAAACATGAGAATTCAAGAATAGTCCAGAAGGAAGACAGGCAGTCCTGAGGAAAGAAGTATGAAATAAAAAAGTTTACCAACCTGAAGATCGTGCATGTTCAGACATGTTCCTTTCATCATCTTAAAATGCAGCTTCCTCCTGAGAAGGAACACTTCTCATGATGTTGTTTCATTCAGGCAACCAGGCCTTGCATTTCTTTGTTGCACTATTTGCATTTTGCACGCATGCCTGTCTTACCCACAGGTAGAGGAACTTCATTAAAATATTCCCAAACTGGATCTCTTTTATGGCCTGTTGCCATTATAGGTTTTCCCTTCTAGTGAGAGAATGATATGGTAGATCTCAAATCAATGAAGGCTACACTCAGAAAGACCTCAAGCCTTCTGGAATATGCTGCTCAAACAGTTTCACATTTGTTTCTACTGACTGTCCCTCCCTTCTCAAATTCACTTCCAGACTTCTTCTCCTTGTCCAGATCTATTCCGCCCGCAACAATCTTCTATTCATTGAACTTTGAAACTTTGTACTTTTAGAGAGACGTAAGGGATTAACTCTGTGTACATGAATTTGCAGAGGGAACCTAGGGTTGAGGTCTGTTATTTCTCACCTCTACATATTTATTTATTTATTTTAAAACACTTTTGCTGTTAAGAAGCATGTTATCTCTGGAGACACAAAGCCACAGTCTGAGAACTGCAAAACTAAGCATCTCTGATGGCATCTTCTAGACTGAGCACTGAGTCCTATTGGGTAGATAGAAAGATTAACCTAAATCCATACAGAAGCCCCTGGAACCCCGTAAGATTGGGTCCCTAATCCATGAACCCGTTGAAATTTGTTTACAAAACTTTTCTTAAACATTACATGAATATATTGTCTCATACTATAGAATTCTAATTTATAATCCCTATTCCATGATGAGATCTCTTTGAGCTACAATGTATCTTAATTAAAATGATCTTTAGATAGGTTTTTTCCTCAAAAAGTATTTTATCAAAAAATCTGATTTAAACAAAAAAATCAGATTTTTTTTTTTAAATCATTGATTTTTATCCACTCTGTATGTGGCTGATTTTTTTTTCTTCCTAGGTGAAGTATTTTGCACTTGTCTTTATTAAACTTCATCTTGTTAATTTTAGACCAAACCTCCAATTTGTCAAGGTCATTTTGAATTCTAATCCTAGCCTCCAAAGTGCTTGCAACCTTCCCATCTTGGTGCCATCTGCAAATTTTATAAGCATCCTCTCCATTCCGTTATCCAAGTTATTAATGAAAATATTGAATAGTACCAGAGCCAGACTGACTCTTGTGGAACCCCATTAGATATGTCCTCCCAGTCTGACAGTGAACCACAGATAACTACTCTTTGAGTACGGTCTTGCAACCAGTTGTGCACCCACCTTATAGTAATTCAATCTAGACCACATTTCCTTAGTTTGCTTATGAGACTGTCATGTCAAAAGCCTTACTAGAAGTGAAGATATATCACATCCACTGATTCCCCAATTCACTAGGCCAGTAACCCTGCAAAGAAGGAAATTAGGTTTGTTTGGCATGATTTTGTTCTTGACAAATGCATGCTGGCTATTCCTTATAACTCTATAGGTGCTTACAAATTGATTGTTTAATCATTTGTTCCAATATCTTTCCAGGTATTGATTTTAGGTTGATTGGTCTATAAATCCCTGGGTCCTCTTTGTTCCCCTGTTAAAAGACAGGTATTATGTTTGCCCTTCTCCAGTCCTCTGGGACCTCACCCATCCTCCATGAGTTCTCAAAGATAATTGCTAATGGTTCCGAGATTGCTTTAGTTGGTTCCTTAAACACCCTAGGACAGGGGTGAAAGTAAGATCAAAATAATTACCGGTATGGGGGCCTGGCTCTGGGTTCCCGGAAGGGGTGGGGCTGGCAGGTCAGCCTCCCCCAGCCAGTCCCTCCATGTTGCCTGGCCCGCACTGCCTGGGGCTTCGGGGACAATTTAAAGGGTCCGGGGCTCTGGCCACTGCTGTGATAGTGGCAGCAGTAGCCGGGAGCTCCGGGCCCTTTTAAATCACTGGGACCTGGGGCAGCTGCCCCTGTTGTCCCCCCGTCAGCAGTCGTGGGAGGGGTAGTGACATTAAAGCGCTGCTGTGTACGGGCCGCTACTGATTGCCACTTCTTACCGGTACGCTGTGCCAGCCCGCCCAGGCCCACTTTCACCTCTGCCCTAGGATGAATTTCATCAGACCCTTCTGACTTGAATACATCTAACTTATCTCAGTATTTTAAAACTGTTCTTTCCCTATTTTGGCTCACATTTCTTCTCCCTTATGAATATCGTTTTGAGTCTCTGGTCACCGTAAACCTTTTTAGTGAAAACTAAAGCAAACTAAACAAACACCTCAGCCTTCTTAAAGTCATCTGTTATTGGTTCTCCTTCCTTACTAAGTGCAGGGTCTACATGGTCCTCAGTCTTTCTCTGACTCCTAATGTATTTAAAGAACCTCTTTTTATTGCTGTTTTTGTCCCTTGCCAGCTGTAAGTCATTTGGGGCCTTAGTCTTTCTAACTTTGTCCCAAGGTGCTTGTGCTGTTTTTGTACTCCTCTATCGCAATTCCTCCTTGTTTCCTCTTTTTGTAGGGTTCCTTTCTGAATAACTGGCCCCCCAAATAACTTGAGTTCCGCCCCCCTCCTTTGAGCAGCAGGGGACTGCACTGCCTGAGCTGCTTCTCCTGTTGGCCATTCGCGGCTGGGGTTGCGGCTCACTGCATCTGTCCAGCCAGGGACAGGGGAGCTGGGCGACTCTGCCCACACCAATGGGTGTCTCCTGCAGAGACAGCCAAACTCGTCTCACTCATGCTCTTGAGTCCTACCGGCGAGTGACACCGCTCCAGCCTGAACAAACCCCAGCCGCCCTCAGACTAACCCCGCCCCGTGAGCCCAGGCGAGCCCGGGCCTTTGGCAGCCTGCCCAGGCGTGTGACCCAGATACTCCGACCGGCGAGGTGAGGCGAAGGCGGCGGCGCAGGAGCGCTAGGACCCGGCTGGCTCGGCCCGCCGGAGGAGGAGCCGGAGCGCGGCGAGGAAGGAGCCAGTGGCTGAGCTCTCAGGCAGAGACGGGGGGGACGTACCCAGACACACACACGCACCGAGCCAGGACAAAGCGGGGAGCTGGCTGTGGGGCTGGGGCGCACGGATCCCCGCGGGGCTGCTGGCCCAGAGGCGAGGCGGCGCTGGCTGCTCGGGGACCGTCCCTCCAGGGGCCGGGGGTCGCCGCGATGGAGCAGAGAGGCGGCGGCGGCGGCGGCCGGGCTGCGCGGCGGCTGCTGCTCGGGGACAAGCGAGGACCCCGCCCGGCGCCGGCAGCTGTAGCAGCCCGGGGCGCTCGCCGCGCCTGAGCCGCCCGCTCCATCCCCGGTCAGACCCGCGCTGCGGACCCGACCCGGCAGCAGCCCCGCGCCCGGGGCCATGAGGACCAGACCCCCCTAGCGGGAGCCAGGCGAGCGGCGGAGGGGGGGGGGGATGCCCCGGCCCCCCAGCGAAGTCAGGCGAGGCGGAGACCGAGCCCCGTCCGGGGGGGGCCCCCAGGGGCGCAGGGAGTGAGCCCCGCCCGGGCACCCAGGGGCGATTGTCGGCGGGCGAGAAGAAGGGAAGGCGAACGTGTGTGAGGGAGGCGGGAGCTTTCCGGGGGCTCGTCCCAGCTCCCACCCAGGTAAGGCCGGGCTCCGAGCCGCCCTGGGGCTCCGCAGATCTCCCCTTCGCGGCGTGGGTGGGGGTCCAGGTGGAGCCCAGCCCAGCCGGACAATGAAGCGGCACCCCCCAGCCCGGGCAGGGCCCTGCTAGGAGAAGGAGGTCGCTGTGAGGCTGGAGCCCCCCCAGCGGCCGGTCTGTCCCCCATTGTGCAGCTGCAGGCGGATGCTTCGGGCGGAGGCAGGTGCAGGGAGGGCTGGGCTCCCCTTCGGCAGCTCGCTCCAGCCCCCTGTTTGTACGTCTGAAGGGCCCTTTCCTTTGTGTCTCTCCTCAGTGCAAAACCTAGTCCCCCCCTCCCCCTCGTCAATCGCTCCCGCGGCGGGGGCTGCCTGCGCTCGGCGGCACCAGCCCCAGCACAGCCATCCACAAGGGCTCTGCATGCAAGCCCTAAATGCGCCAGATCGGGGCTTTGCAGGGGGGAGCCCGAAGCCTCCCTCCTGATTGTCCTGCTCTGGGAACACCCCTCTCCCCCTTGCTACTGGCATGGAAATTGACATGGTGGGGAGTGGCCGTGAAACAGGCATCCAACCTCTCTTTTTATCAATGGATGTCGATCCCGCCTAATCCTGATTCCCCCCTTCACCCCAGCTGTCCCTCCCCCTGCCCTGTAAGGGGTACTCGAGTAAATAAACAGCAGCATCGGGTATGGCTTGGTTCTGTCAGGCCCTTTCTCTGTGAACACAGAGGGATGTCAGTGAGCTGGTAGCAGCACCAGGAGCAAATTCTATTGTCCCTCCGCCCCAGAGCTCTCCCAAAGCTGGCACAACCTGTGCGTTTGAATTGGTCTCTTCCATCCACAAGTTGTCATCCGTTAGTACCTGTATCTAGGGGCCAGTGCTGGAGGTGACAAGTTCCCAGCAGTGTCAAGATCCTACGTATTATGCCCATCTGTCTCTCACTGCAGCCTTCCTCTTTGCTACCTGCACTTTCCCTGTCAGGTTAGGGTCCTTCTAGCCAGTTCTCAGGTACACTTCCCTCCTGTTGTTGCCTTAAATCCTCACTGTTGTTCTAGGAGGGAATTTTCAGCGCTGCCCGGGGCTACTTATTTGATCTCTTGTTTTCCTCCCTTCTGTGAATCGCTGAAACTTTCTGTCAGATTGCTGCATGGATTTCAGGGCTTGGCTTTAGGCAGTAATGGGGTGGGGTGGGTTTAAAGGAATGTGAAGAGCAGGAGGAGGGATTATATTCTGAGGTCCCCATATATCATACACTGCCTCCCCCGAGGCTTTCTAGTGCTTCCAGAAGTGCTCCAGTGACATGGTGTTTGTGCTGTGAAACCCTCCTGGAATAATCTTTTGCTAGAGGCAACCCTGCTGGAAACACTGTCCCAAAGATGGCCTGTCCTCTACCCCCAGGTAGGTAAGTAGCAATCTCTCTTGGGGGAGGAGTGCTGATTTTTGGAAGGTGGTGTATCCCCTCCCTCCATAGGCACAGAGCAGTATCTCCATCATTACGCACCTTGAGAACTGGCCAGAGCTGTTTCTCCTGGCAAACATGCTGTAAATACTAATTAATGGATCCATTTAACAGCAGCGCTCCTTGTGAGCTGGGGAGATAATGTCTTGTCCTGGTGACATCTCCTGATGTCATTGGCCTTAAAGGGGGGGGGCACGACTCACCTGCCCTTTGGGCCTCCCAGCACCTTCTTTAAGCATGGCAGGATGATCACCTCACAGAGCACGTGTCATAGAGCTAGACAGTTCTTGGTCTCCTCTGACTCGGTTCTTGGGCTCAGACTTTCCAGGTGGCCCAGCTATTCAGTTGCTTAGGGTAGCTGGTGACTCAGGGAATGCAGCTGGTGTGGCTATGATGTGCGTGGCCATTTATTTTCATTTCTGCCTGATGGTCCTGCTGTCACTGGAGTCTTCTCTTCTGACCTGGGTGTGCTGCTTGTCATTCAGCTTTGCCTGTACCCTAGGGATGGTATCCCAGGTTGGGAGGGGACTAGAGCCCAGTTGCTTGATTTTGCTGTATTGTCAGGGAACCAAAAGATCTCAGCAGGGATCAGTTCCTGCTGGTAGCTTATAGAAACTCTGAACCAGAGAGGGAAACAGAGTGAGTCATGCTTGAAAGGAGTTGGAGCCTGAGTGGCAATGGAAATCTGGGGGTAAGGACTGGTGAAGAGTTTAGGGGACTTTAGTTTTCCAGATGTGCCTTTTCAATAGTCACTGTGCAGCGGAGCCGCGAGGAGGAGCGTGGTTGTAATGGCTCCTGAGGATTTTGCTCTGGAGTGATTGATTGAGGGCTGTGAATAGAGGTGGCCCTGTTGACTTGACGAAATTGATTGCTGGGATGGAGCTGATGGATTGGGCTAGAAAAGGCAGGAAAAATAAAAAGAGAGACAGGGAAGCAAGAGGCCATCTCCAGCCGTGAGATCGGAAGCTAGGCAGTGGTGGTCCAAGTGGCAGGCAGTGGAGGGGTGAGCTGCCCACCTGAACTGGACAAACAGAGGAGCATGGCAGGAAAAGTGAGAGCTGATTGGGTTTTGTTTTTTATCTTCCTTCTCAGCGGGATGCAGCGGAAAGAAGCTGTCATTGAGCTAGAGTCTAGCTCAAGAATCAGCTACACTTTAGGAAGGGTGAGTGTGACCCAGTTAAATACCCATTGACCGCCTACTTACCCTGTGGCCAAATTGTGTCTGCAGATGGTAGAAGCAACTCAAGGTGCTCAGAGGCCAGGGCTGCTCTCCTACCAGATGGACAGCATGGTGCATGATGTGCCTATATGGGGCTGGATCCTCAGCTGCTATAAATTGGCATAAGGCTTTTGTTCTGATTGCTATACTAACTGAGAATCTGGTTCTTGGGATCTAGAGACCTGCAGGAATGGGGCTGCCAATTACCTTCAGTTGAAGCCTGTGTTGGGATGGAAGGAGATCAAAGAAGCATGAAGAGATGGGTCGAGGGAGCCACCATCTGGCATAGGCTGAGGGGGATAATAATTCCTCCTAGACTGAGCAAATCCCTCTGGGGGAAAGAGAGACCATTGGCGCATTGGATGGATGCTGCTTTTACCAGACAAAGAAAGAGCTGGCTGTGGGTTGATCAGAGGGGAGAATGTTGGATCTCATGAGCTAGGAATTCTCTTACGGAGACTTGGGGCATTGGTGGGCACGGTAAATGGCAGCACTAGTGGCAGGCAATAGCAGGACATGGCACCTGGGATCTGCCTGTAGATGCTTAGAAACAAGGCTGAGGTTAGGGACTTTGTGCTCTGAGATTCTTCTAGTCCCACACACAGGGAGATAGAGGAGCTGCAGTTTGTGGATGAGGGGAGGGACTGAGTTTATTAGGTTGTGGGGAAAGGAGGGCTTTTAATCACTGCTGGCAATGACAGCAAAGAAGAGTTTGGAGGCTGTTTAAGTTGGGTGCAAGGGTGCGGGGGGTGGGGGAAAGCTGGCAGGTGCAGAGAAGCTCTCTAGTCAGACGATGGACATCATCTGCTGGGGACATTGGAGGTACAAGTTCCACTGCAGTATGTATCCAGTAGACTAGGCTAGGATTGCCCTGTGGGAAGGGTGAGAACAAGGAGGAATAATCCAATAAGGTATAACAAGAGTTTCAGGCAAAATGAGCTGCCCTGTTACAAATCACAGCTACTATCAGCTGCAGATCAGCGTGGGATGTTTGAAACATACCTGGGTGAGCTGGAAAGGCTGGGATTGGGGGAAGATCTCGACACCACTGGCATTTCCGTGGTGGGAAGAGAACAATTAGTGAGATGCTCTGACAAACTATACATGGGGAGCAGGGCCATAGCCAAAGGATCCATGCCACAGAGACTGCTTGAGTGATTAGGAGTAGGAGACCCAAACCAATGATGCAGGTCACAAGAATACATATCCAGTAGTCAGCCTCCACATCAGAAGAGTTCTGGTGAGGTGTCCTGATCATCAGTGCATATAAAGAAGAGGTCAGCTACCATGGTGCTTCACCACTGAAGATGATGGGTGAATACCTATCATGGGGTTACTCTTCACGGGTGGTGAAAGTGAGACATTGCCAGAGAAGATGGAAGTATTGGGGGCAGTAGGGTTGAAAGGAGATGAAATGATGGAACAACTCAAATAATTAAGTTCCCATAAATCACCAGCACTGGAAGTCCCTCTTCAGAGCTTGCTAAAGAATGGAGTAACTGAGCTAGTAACAGAGATTTGTAATTTATCATTAAAAAGTGTTGAGAAGCCAGAGGACTGGAAGGCAGCCAATGCTGTGTCATCTCTGTAAAAAGGTGCCACGCTAAGGGTGTGCTTGGAAATAATAGGCCAGGGAAAACAGTAGAGAAAAGCTATGGAAGAGAGAATTGCAAAGCATTGAAACGAGAGTAATAGTTTAAGGATGACTTCTATAAGAATAAAGGTATCTGTCTCACCTGTTAGCACTGAATGATCAAACTAGTTGGTAGAGCAGAAATGGTGGAGATCAGTTATTTGCTCTTTCCAAAGGCTTCTGGGGAAGAGCCTCCTAAGATGCTATTCAAGATACCTGGTAACCATGGGGAGAATGGTGAAGTCCTGTCACTGATTAAAAGCTGACATGGGATGCGAAGAGATCTCATTGGGGGGAAACATTACATATGGAAGCCCTGAGGGTCTGCTCCAGGACCTCTGTCCAATACATTTATTAACCTAGAAAGGGGGCTGGGTACTGAAGTAGAAAAATTTGCTCCCAACACAGAGCGCACGACTGAGAGCTCACATGGGGTGGAGGGTGAGAAAACCTGGATTTGTGCTGGAAATGGCCCAACTTGATGATCACTTTAGATAAGCTATTACCAGCAGGAGAGTGAGTTTGTGTGTGTATGGGGGTGGGGGGGTGAGAAAACCTGGATTTGTGCTGGAAATGGCCCACCTTGATTATCATGCACATTGTAGGGAGAGTGGTGGATGGGCTATTACCAGCAGGAGAGTGAGTTGGGGGGGGGGGGGGGGGGAGGGTGAGAAAACCTGGATTTGTGCTGGAA